CACGGGGAAGAAGGGCATGGCTGCGGGGATCCGTAGCCGTGTGGCTCTTCTCCCCTGCTTTGCCCCTCCTGACAGTGCTCTGCACCCCCACAGGCATCACCACGGTGCTCACCATGACCACCCTGAGCACCATCTCCCGCAAGCACCTCCCCCGAGTCTCCTACATCACCGCCATGGACCTCTTTGTCTCCGTCTGCTTCATCTTTGTCTTCGCTGCGCTCATGGAGTACGCCACCCTCAACTACCTGGTGGGAAACAAGAAACCCCCGGAGCACAACAGCAAGAAACCCAGACTGGTAGGCAGGGGCAAGGTGGAGCGAGGGAATGGGAAGTTATGGCCCAAAGTAGGGATGTAAAGGACTAGTTGACTATCCGATAAGCAAATGTTTATCAGATAGTCATCAGGATAGTCTATTAGACACACACACACACACCCCGCATTGCTGCCTCTATCAGATAGAGGCAGCAAGGGGGGAGAAGAGGGGAGTGCTTAAAAGCAGCAGTGCTGCATGCAGCCTGGGGTCAGCTGGGGAGTCACATGACATTTCAAAGCGGCAGTGTCGCTTGGAGCCCAGGATCAGCTGGGGACTCCCCAGCTGACCCCGGTCTCCGTGCAGCCTGCCAGCTTTGAAATGTACAAGAGTCCCCAGCAGGGGCTCTTGTGCATTTCAGAGAGGAAGCGCCGCATGGAGCTTGGTGCCAGCGAAGGACCTGGAGTCAGCGGGACTTCCTGCTGGCCCAGGGCTCCACTTCCTGCTGGCCCTGGGCTCCCTGCCGGGTCTCTTGTGCATTTCAAAGGCGGAACACAGAAGTGCTTATCGACTAGTCGATATAGTAAATTCCATCGACTACTCGACTAGTAAATTATTCGCTAGTTAACATCTCTAGCCCAAAGCCTCCGCAGTGTGGCAGGGCGTAGGAATGTTACAGTCTGGTGTGCGCAGGGAAGCGCCATGCGCCTCAGCTAGTGACACAATGCATTCACAAGGCCTAATGGGGCGGAGCTTGTTCTCGTGATGGGGTGCTTGTCCAGGGAGTGCCAAAGGGGGAGGGGCACCCCAAATCAGACTAGGAGGGAGTGGTGCTCTGCAGACTGGCACAAGGACAGGCTGTAACACTCCACAGAAGCATGATGGTGCAAGAGACCAAGCTTAGGGATTACGTGTCAGAGGGGCTGGCCAACACCCAGAGCGGGTGGTGCTTGAAGAAGCAGAGCTCTAGGAATCAGGGGTGGCAGGGGGGTAGCAGTGCCTGTCAGGCCACACAAGGTGAGCTGGGCGATTAGTGCTGTCAGGTCTTCCTTGCCCAGGATATACCAGGGGACTGAACTGCAGCCAGACAGGTGGATGGGAAACCAGAGCTGTCTAGTATCCCTCTGCACTGACTATCTAGGAGATGCCAGGAGACTGACCACCCACCAGTCGCAGGGCTGGTTGTTTGGGCGAAGGAGGTTTCATCCCTGCTTTCTCTCTGACTCGTTCTCCTCCTTGTTCTAGCCACCTGCCCACGCCCACGTGATGCCCTCCTTCACCACCATCAACATCAACCACCTCATGCACTGGCCTCCGGAGGTGGAGGAGGAGGAGGACCCCGGCTCGCCTTGCCTGGAAGGGAAGGAATGCGAGAGGTTTTTTTGCTGCATCGAGGACTGTCAGACAGGGACCTGGCGGGAGGGCCGCATCCGCATTCACATCTCCCGCCTGGACTCCTACTCCCGGGTTTTCTTCCCCACTGCCTTCCTGCTCTTCAACATCGTGTACTGGATCGCCTATCTCTATCTCTAGCTCTCCCCCGCCTTGTGCTGAAATAAACCAGACGCCAGCAGGATTTGCAAAAAAGGAAAAAGGGAAACGGTGTCGCTTCTCATTTTAGTCCTCAACGGATTTGGCCCTGGCCTGATCTTACCTCCTTCTTGCCCTTCTAGGTAGAAAAAAAAAAACACAGCCAGTCTCTGATGCAAAGTAGTTCGTCCCCCCATGGGAAATTTCCTTGTGAACATTTCCGATTTCCATCAGAAATACAAAGCTGAACGCTTTCTCCATATACCCAAATAATTCCATGGAAAGTGCCGATGAAAGACAAAAAAAAAAATCATTTTTGCAGGAAATCAAATCAATGTCCTGATCAACTCTATTCCTGAGCCAATTTCCACAGGCATAGACCCTAGTGTAGAGCCACAGAAAAATCCACAAGGGCTGCATGTGGGGTGGGAGGAAGAAAATGGCTGCATCCTCCCCTCCAAAATACAGATGGCACAGGCCAGAAAGGATGCACGGCCATAGACAGGGGATGGGGATGGACCAGCGCTTCCCCCAGCAGTTGGTTCCTATGGAGCTCCCACTGTTGCGGTGCCCTGCAGTAGCAGACAATACCAAAAGACAGGGGATAGGGACTTGCCCTGATACTTTTCAGGCTATGAAGCATGGCATTTGTAAAGTTTTCAATGAGTCTGTGAGGATCCATCTGCTGTGCAAATACCACATTTGCAAAGGGCCCAGGTACATCAGGGTTGCATTCTGTAGATGGGATTTCAGCTACTTTGCGTACTGTGAGCAGATCCTGCCAAGCCATTTTTGAAAGTTGCTATTAATCAAGCGGTAGAATAGTGGCGAGTAACCTGGTTTCATCGCACTGTTGCACCCTAATAGAACACCCATTTACACGGATTAGAATTTTTTTAATGTTTTCTACATTTTTCCAAATATGTTGATTTTGCTTGCAACACAAAATACACCACGCTCGCTTGCTAGTTGATTACAAATATGAGCACTGTAAAAAAAATCTTTAAAAAAGGGAGCAGTATTTTACAGATTCCCTCGCACAATTTCTGGAGTGCAATCCCGTTAACCTCCATGAATTCAGCCTTATTCCTCAGTGCAGACAAGGCCTACGTTGCTCTTTCAGGATGATTTTTTTTTTTAGCACCTGATTTTGTAATGTTGAAGGTGCATGTCCCCACTGTGCTCAGGGGTTTGATGCCGTGCATCCGCAGAAGGGTGGATGCCATCGACTTTGACAATGATGCTTTGTGGGTAGCTATCCCACAGTTCCTACTGCTCCTTTGCATTCTGAGTGATGCTCCCAGTGCCTGATGGGATCAAACAGTGCAGCAGGTGGTTCTGGGTACATGTCATCAGTAACCAACCATGCACTCATCTCCTCCCTGCCCCGCCCCCCGCCGCTTGAAAGCAACACCAGTCGTTTTGCTCCCATTTTCCCCTGTGCAGACGTCATAGCAGGGTAAGCATGCAACCCAGCATGGAACCTGCTGAGTAGCAAAGCTCTATGGCAATTCGAGCAAACATCTCGTGCCTTATGCTGCAGTGTGTCCAGCGCCTCACTGAGTCCTGCCGTATGGAGGAAGAATCTGAGGACGCCATGAACAGATTCTTTCGTGACGCACTTGAGATAAAGGACTGGCAGATGCTGGCGGCAGTCGATCGTATTGACACCATCGAACACTGGTTCTGGTGCCGTGAGACAAGCACAGCCTGGTGGGACCACACACTGTTGCAGCGATGGGACCATTGGCAGTGGCTGCAAAACTTTCATATGCATAAGGCCACTTTCATGGAAGTTTGTGAATTACTTTCCCCCACCCTCAAGTGCAGCAATCCCAGAATGAGAACCGCACTGACAGTGAAGAAGCCAGTGGCAATAGCCCTGTGGATGCTTGCCATGCCTGACAGTTATCAGTCAGCTGGGGAATCAATTCGGAGTGGGTAAATCTATAGTGGGGGCTGCTGTGATCCAAGCAGCCAAGGCGATCAATACTTTCTGCTGGGAAGGGTACTATCTCTGGGAAACGTGCGGAATCTAGCAGATGGCTTTGCCGCGATGGGGTTCCCTAACTGAGATAAGGCGATGGCTGGAATTCACATCCCTATCTTGGCCCCTGACCCATCTTGCCGAAGAGAACATAAACCACGGGGTGGTTTCTGGATGGTGTTACAAGCACTGGTGGAACACAAGGGCTGTTTCACTGACATCATCGTGGGATGCTCAGGAAAGGTGCATGACGCAGGCACCTTTAGGAACTCTGGTCTCTTTAGAAAGCTGCGAACTGGAACTTACTTCCCAGACCAGAAAACTAACATCAGAGGCATTAAAATGCCAATAGTGATCCTTGCAGACCCAGCCTACCCCCTTGCTCCCGTGGCTCATGAAGTCGTATTCAGGCAGACCGGCCTGCGGTAAGGAGCAGTTCAGCTACAGGCTAAGCAAAAGCTTTTGGACGTTTCAAAGGAAGTTTTCACAGTTTGTTGACTACGTTAGAGCTCAGCAAAAGCAACTTTCCCATTGTTGTGGCAGCCGTCTGTGTGCTCCATAATATCTGTGAAAGCAAGAGGGAACGTTTTATGCCAGGGTGGGGATTGGGGAGGTTGAGACAGAACCACCTAGTCACTAATTATGAGCAGCCAGACACAAGGGCAATAAGGCGAGTACAGGGAGGTGCACTGCCGATCAGAGAGGCTTTGAAAACAGCTTTGTGCCTGACCAAACAGCGACATGACTGTCATGCATGTTGTTCTTAACAAGGTGCCCTCTGCACTAAGTGTGCTTGCCTGCAAACCCTCCCCATGTAACACAAGCAATAAAGATACAGCTGTTGAGAAATCATTGGCTTTTATTTAATGAGCTCAAGGAAGAAGGACTGAAGAGGAGTTTGGGGTGGAGGGGGGAGAAGGGGAAGTGTCCCTTGTTCAGCAATCTCACAGGTGTGAGAAGGACAGCCTCTTGTTGTGGGGCACATCCCTGGGGCTTGAATGTAAGGTTGCTCTTAACTCTCCTCCCCACACACATGTTCTAGGGCTCCTGGTATGGAATTTGGTATGGAGGGAATGTGGGTTACTAATGTCCAGAGGGGGTTCCTGTGCTCTGGCAGTTGTGTGAGTCCACCATATGCACCATCAGACTTGCCATGGCCATCAAGACTTTCTCCTCTGTCTCCACTTAGAGTTACCTGATCGCTTCTCTGTCCTCATGCTCCCTCATCTCCTGCAGCAGTGTTTTCCTCCACTCACTCAATTGCTCCATGTGCAAGTGGACAGATTGCATTTCCTCACTGAACATGTCACCCCCTACTACACTTTTGCCTGTGCAGCTGTGCCGGGAGCTGGGGGAGTGTGCAGCAGGCTCGCTGTTGCACCTGCTGTAAAGAAAAGTAAAGGGCAAACTTTTGGATAAAGGAGATACCTTGTGGCACATAGAGCCTAATATCTGTAGCAGACAGGAATGTCTGTTCAAGAAAATTGTGATATGTTATATACAAGGCCAGTATTATGCTTTTAAGTGGCCACTATGCAGCAGGAGAGATCTGGGAGCAGCTGAACTTGGTTTGGTGGTAAGGGGCAGGTCAGAACTTTCTCTTATGCTTCTGCTTTGAAAGCATGTGCAGCACAATGCTTGCAAATAGCAGCTGGCCGGCATGTGCTCACTCTCTCTCTCTCTCTCTCTTTTTCACACACGCACACACACACACACACACACACACCTACACCTGTGTGCTGGGGGAGTGCAACTTTGGGGGCTCCGTCGCCGGAGGGCAGGCATGGCGGCGTGGCGGGGGCTCAAGCCAATCTTCATTGGGGAGGAGCAAGCAAAGTTTTACTGCTATGGTAGCGTCAATAGCTTCCCCGGCTTCATCCACATTGCCATGCATGATATCAGTTTTCTCCGACTCACACCGAATAATAAGGAATGTTTGTGGACTGAATGTGGCCAGAAATGTGGACCTTGTGCTGTAGTGGCACCAGACCACTTCCTGCTGGCTTGATGTGGAAAGGTGTCCTACCATGGAGGACAGAATAAGGCAGCTTTCCCAGAAACCTTGTGAGAAGGATGAAAGAGTTCCTCAATGAGAGCTTTATGGAGATGTGCAGGGAGGATTCCCAGGCCGTCTCCAGACACATTAACAAACAGTTCTGGGGAGCCCCTCTGTTGGCCGCCTCAGGTCACACCCAGTGGCCTTCACCCACCTGGAGCACGATAAAAAATGTGAACTCTCCAGAAATGCCCTCTCAGTCATCAGGGCCGGGCAGCGAGATGTCCTGGGTGGAGGAGATTGTCTCCAAAGTTGGTGTTCCTGGCTGTTGGTGAGATCAGATGCTCCACTCGCCTGATGACCATTCTCCTTCTCCACCTCTTCCTCATCCACTCTGTCCTCCATGCTGCTGCCAGAATAGTCTCTTGGGAGGAATCCATGGGCTGGCTAGGGACACTGGTCAGGTCCCCCCCTTCATAGAAGTGGCATGTTTGCGGCACTGACCCAAACCATCCATTTCCTTCCTTTGTGTTCTGGTGCCCCTGCCTCAACCCCTTTATTTTCACAAAGAGCTGCTGGGCGTCCCCGGCATATCCTTTCTCGACCATGCCCTGTGTGATCTTGGCATAGATATCAGCAGTTCTTCTGCGGCTTCATAGTTCTGTCTGAAACGATTCTTCTCCCCACATAGCAATGAGTTCCAGGATCTCTTGCACTCTCCATGGTGATCGTTCGCAGCCCTGGCCAGTCATGATCAGGTGTGCTGCTGAAGTGGGATGCCTGCTCTGAGGTCTACTCGCCATGCTGGCCACACAGGAAATGACATTCAAATTTTCCTGGGGCTTTCCTGTACACCTGGAGAGCAGCAGAGTTGAAAGTCCTGGCCAGAGAGGTCACAGTGAGGCTTTCTGAAAGTCGATGCTCTTGGCTTCTTGTTCCAAAGTGCTGTGTTTGCACTACCCGAAAGTCAAGCACACAAGGTCCAAATTATCATTATTCCTCGTGAAAAGCAGGAGTACCCAAATCTACTTTAAAGGCCCTTAAAGTCGATGGATTGAGCTCGGTGGATGCATTGTTTAGAAAATCAGCCTAATGTGGTTAAATTAAACTGAAACTCCTAATGTAGACCAGGCCTTACAAATGCAGAATTAGTTTGGGGTTGTTTGTTTGTTTTTCATTTACTTTTACACATAACTGCTCTCAGAAACAAAACCATGTAAAACTTTAACACCTAGAAGTCCTTTCAGTCCTACTTCCTGTACAGCAAATTGCTAAGATGAACACGTATGTTTACACCTAGGGGAGATGCTGCTGCCTGCTTCTTGTTTACAATGTTATCTGACAGTGAGGACAGGCCTCCGCATGGTATGGTTGTAATATAAAGTGATCCCTGTACACTTTGTATTCTGTGTTGTAACTGAAATTAATATATTTGAAAATGTAACAAAACATCCAAACTATGGATAATAAATTTAATTAGTATTCTAATATTCTTTAACAGTGCAATTAAAACAGTGGTTAATCATGACTTTTCTTGAGCTAGTTATTTATTTTCACCTGAATCGCCTGTGTTAACAGCCCTACCCCTAACATTGTTCCCCTAAAGCAGAACCAATACAAATTCTGAGCTGGTCTACACTACAAATAAAATGAAGTGTGATCCTGGTTTTGCTGCTCTCAGTCTGTGAATAGTGTTTGATTCCACAAATCATCCCATTGAAACCAATGGGCTTCTCATGGACTGAGGAACTACTCAACCTGAGTATGAGTGGCAGAATCAGGCCCTGCTAAATGTCAGACAAAAAACACACAAGGTCCTTCGACGGCCCTTGCAGAGCACACAATTTTTTTTTTTAATCTCTAGGATTCAGAAAGAAAACGTAAGCTGTAAGAAGATTTAGGAGATGGACAAGGCTCCATGCACTCTCTGACATGCCCAACCCCTTTTCTACTAAGGCTGTGTCTTCACTGAGCAGAAGATCAATGTTGCCACAATTGATCTGCCTAAGTTTGATTTAGTGAGTCTAGTTAAGACTCACTAAATCGAACTCAGAGGGCAACCTCAACAGCATCCATTACTCCTGCTTCTGCGAGGAGTAAAGGAAGCCAATATGAACGTTTGCTCCCGTCGGCTTTCCACTGTGGAGACAGCAGGGAAACATGAAACAAGTTATGTTGATTCCAACTACGTAATTAACATAGCTAGAGTGGCATATCTTGAGTCAATGTTGCCTTTTAGTGAAGGCCAACCCTGTGTGGCCTCCAGGAGTGGGAGGAACAATTCAGTAACATCTGCAAGTACCAGATCTGCTATGCTGACTAGCCTTTTGCCAGGTCAAGCATTGCTCCTGGGCTGCCATAGAACTTGCATGGCCATGCAACATGGAGAAGGGTGCAGTGAGGATTGCGGAAATACATTGTTCAATGCTAAGCAGGAAGAGTAGCGGAAGAGCACAGACCTGGATCCTCCACTGATGTAAATTGGTGCTGCCCCGTTTATACCAGCTGAGCGCCTGTCCTACAGTTCAGTTTGCTGAAAATGACTTCCCATTCATATTCGCTTACTGCGTAAATTAAAACAAAAACCTTTTATAAAGAGCATGTTTTAGAAATAACTGTCACTTTAAAGGCTTGTCGCAAGAAGAAAGACAACTCCTGCAGGGCGAGTAGATAGGAACGGTTGGATTACAGGACAGCTAACAGGGCCACGAGGGGTATATATTCTTAGAGAGCAAATCTGATCTGGTTTAAAGATGGATTTTTGACACTGTTGAATGTTATCTGAATAATGATATGTCATGTTTAATTAATTCATAAATATACCCTTACCTTGCTTCCAGGGGAACCAAAGAGAGTCTAATTAAAGCTACAATAGTACACCATTTGGCTAAGTATAACCTAATAGGGTCAAACCTGCACCGCTTCTGGAAGGGAAAATTATGCCCATCTAACTTGTTAGAGTTCTTTGAAATGCTGAATAAATCAGTAGATAAAGGCTTCCCGGCAGACTTAATTTTCTCAAGCTTTTGAGAAGATGGAGCAGAATTACTGAGGATGGTAGGGGCTTCTAATGAGAAGACATTAATATAGGAAAAGGAAGTCTAGGAAAAGAATAAAAATAGCTGTCTGACAATGACATCTACTGGGGTGTAGACCCGTCTCCTAAGGGAATAGGGTGAAGTCTCATTGGACATAGTAAAATCAGCAATGTAGTCCAGGGTAAGTTTGGGTAACCTGCGTTTGCCCACTTCTCATTTGGGGAGTCTGGAGATTAGGTTAGGTTAGTTCACTCACTTCTTTTTTACCATAGTGATAGAAATGTAGCCGTTTTAGTCTGGTGGAGCTGAAACAAAAAACAGGACTATGTAGCACTATAAAGACAAACAAGATGGTTTATTAGGTGATGAGCTTTCGTGGCCCAGGCCCACTTCCTCAGCTCACTTCCTTTGATCTGAGGAAGTGGGTCTGGCCCACGAAAGCTCATCACCTAATAAACCATCTTGTTAGTCTTTAAAGTGCTACATAGTCCTGTTTCTTTTTTACCACTGCACTTTTTTACCACTGAATAAAACTGACGGGACATGGTCAGAGACTGATATACGGTATAAATCGGTGCTGTCCTGCACTAGATAGATCTTCTGCTATCACTAATTTCTATGATCCCCTTAGGGGTTATTCCAGCAAATAAACCATAGAATCATACAACCCTAGAACACTAGAACTGGAAGGAACCTCGAAAGGTCATCAAGTTCGGTCCCCTGCCCTCAAGGCAGGACCAAGCCCCATCTAAATGATCCCTGACAGATGTCTATCCAACCTGCTCTTCAATATCTCCCTTTCTTTTCCAGATGAAGACAAATATCAGCATTCATTGTGAGTTTCTTGCTTTCTACCCTAACCTATGATATTCCAGGATCTAACTTTTTATTTTAAAATGGGAAGGTTGCTGACTTTTTTTGTCCTTGTTTGCTGTCCATACAAGCCGAACCGAGATGCTGAGCAAACAACACCCCAGACTAACGACTGTACTGAAGCCATGACTCCCGTATCCCTCTTCTATGCATTTTCTTTGAAAAAAGTCCATTTCCCGTTTCACAGCTTCTCACTCCTGTCTCCTCCCCCCACAGATACGCTGTCTAATGGAAGAGCTGGAGATTGTAAGCCCTTTGGGGCAGGGACTGACTCTTACGATGTATTGGTACAGTCCCTAGCACACTGGGGCTGTGATCCCGGCTGGGGGGGAAGGGTTGACGTAGTGGGGATTGTGTACACGCTCTTCACTTTGTGATGTGGTGGGTGATTCCTATTGTCCTGTTCTGTTGTAACGCTGTGTGTATGTGTGCA